GCAGCGACTGGGAGACTGCAATAGCTAATGATCTGATTGCAAAACTCTGAACCGTCGCCAATTGGATTATCTTATCACTTGTGGGAGGGGGCCTCTCTTGATCAGCGGTGAGCTTGTTCCTGGCCTCGGGCCTCTGGTGGGGAATGTCAAAGTCATGTCATCCAAGGGCGCACTGTACTTAAGCGCCACGCTGCATGTCATGTTTAGTGTCACTGGCAGACACCAGTGACCTCAGAGAGTCAGCTTGGAGGCTTCTAGAGGCTTCTGAATTGGCCCGCGCTCAGCAAAGATACCACTGGCTCATAAGATTTCAGTAGTGTCAAGCTATCATCAGAACTTGGGAATCGTAATCCAATCCTCTGACAGGAGAACCTAGAACTCGAAGCTCAGATACAGTCGCTTGACCATATATCGAAAAGATTCTGAGAAGGGCATGACCCAGAGCAGTGTGACTAGTCAAGTCTGGTTCTTCGCAGCAAATGACTTACATTCAAGAAACGGGTGAAAGTTCTATACTGCAGCTTTTGTCACTCTCAAATTTAAGAAACCATACCGGGGTTGCTGTACAAGGATGGCCCGACAAGCCCGACTACTACGATGTCATCTCTAGATAGATTGGACTTCAGCGACATGTACCGGCGAAGCACTTGATGGCTGGCGTAACACGCCGTACAACTCCTCCGAACTGCTAACTCCCCTTCGCAAGACATCTCAGAACCTCATTCAACTTCGCCAAGCTCACCTGCACGTATGGCATGTTGAAGTTCATGATAGCCAGACGATGTTCTGGATTTAGATAAAGTCAGACTGCCAGCTCCCACGGCGATGCACCCAAATTGTCACCAAGCATTTCCCACCCCTCCAGTCCAACCATATCATGACACTGAAGGACACCAATAAACCAAATATGATGCACCCAAGAGCCGTAGATCCTTGGGATAACCAACAGACAAAATGCAGCCACCCTTCCTCATCAAACTTTGGTATGTCCACGACTCCACACGCCCAAATCTGTGCCGCAAAGCGGTTTTTGTCGTATAATATCCCATCTGGAAACGGCAGAGAATTTGCGTAATCGAGGTCGAAGTGCGAGGATTGTCCAAGACCGGCGAGTATCAATACCATGGACATCAATGCGAGGATGACGCTGATGATCAGCATGAGAAACAGGCTGAATCGCGCCCACTGCACCACTACTGCACCATCGCAGCAGGCGTTGTCGGCGGTAGCTGCGACCATGATCCCCCTGTTCCACACTCCTGGTTCCCAGATAAGCCTGAACAGAGAACTTCACGATTCGAGTCGAAGCTAGAATTTGCTGTCACTTGGTCCTACGAAGCTGAAACCTCTCGGAGGTCCACCGCCCCATAGACATCACCGGTGTTGGTCTCAGTGCCGTGTTTTCACGACGCCATCGGAAACAGACCCCCCTCGCGAGCCGATTCGGCCAGCACAGATTCGCTGGGTTCCCGTATGGACACGTTCTCGTTGACTCAATGGATGAACAAGTATACGAGCGTTACCGAGCAGTCTACAAAAAGAGATCAGTGGACGCGTTCAAAAACATCTGTTCTTTTTTTGAGCATGAAGAGCATGGATATCATATGCTGAATGGTGTGATTCGGCCCCATTACGAATGGGGAAACCTGTATATCGTTAAGCACCTACTTGAATCCAGCGGTGGACTGTAATCAACTAGATTCAACTCTTATGGCATCAATTCTTCGGGGGACAATTGTCTCACCGGGGCTGCCCGTAGATGGCGGGAGGGCGTCCTTGACTATTTGCTCGAGTTCGGCATGAACCCCAAAGGGGTCATGGGCGACATTCCCCCCCTTGCCGCGGCAATACGTGCTGAAGTATTTTCATGGTACGGAAGCTTGTCAACCATGGCGCGAGTCCGCATGCTTGGCACGGAAGAAGCCTGTTTCAGTATGGCATATGTCTTGAACATACAGCAATACTTGAGTTCCTCCTAGATAGAGATGTATCATGCAGCGACGGTAGAAAAAGTGGAACGCGAAGGACGAGATGAATACATGTGCTACATAGTGGAGGTGTTTTTCTTGACATCTACGTCCAACCATTGTCAGATCAATCTATCATATTTTCCTTAGTTCGCAGCAAAACTGAACAACCAACCAGGTCTTGTTTCCAGCGGGCCATGGATGCTTGACACTGCAATCAACGCACAGGTCAAAGCTTGCATATAAAGGCCAGTATCATTGTTCCTCTTTGACTCCAAGCCAGCAAGACCTCTTCAACATTTTGCTGGTCTTTGGATTGGTAGCAATCCTTCGTGCAGAAGCAGGTGTCTTTGGTGCTGAAAGATCCGGCGATGACAAGTTGGGCATTGACATCAATGATGCTTTTCTGCTGTGGTAAAGAAAAGCTTGACAGTCTCCTGTTCTGCCATGTGAAGATTAGGGAGCTCAAGGCATGGAATTAGAAGGCTGTCACAGATTCGAAAATGAATATCCAGAGTGCGTTTAATGATTATCACACAAGCCTTCAGGTGAAATCACGTGTCTCAGGAGTATATCTTCCGGGTATGGCCTCACCGAGCTGCCCTGGGCGCCTGAGGCGCAGACCTCTCGGTGAGGTCTTCAGATCACCAAATCACGTGTTGAAGAGGCATCAACATACACGCTCCTTCCTCTCTTCTAGATGAGAAGAATTTTAAGCGAGGCGCTAGTGAGGTTGTGTGCCTCACTGCTTCTTCGTTAGCCGCCCACACGACTTCTCCTCCTGTCAGCATCACGATCTCAGCTTTCCCTTCGACCAACCTTCTCCCCCACAACAACCTCATCCAAACAAATCCACCCTGAGCGCACGTCGCCGCTAGATTCCCTTTTTTGCGCCAGCCACGGCGTGAAGTTGATGCCTTCTCCCTCACCTTCACTTGTTTTCCCCCTACAGGCTACATCTTACCCCTGATCGTACACCTCGATACAGCGGCCAAGATGGCGGCGCACAGCCAGCTGTCTCTTCGATCCTGTGCTTCTCTAGTCTTCTGGACTGCACTGGCTCTTGTTCAGGTTCCCCTTGCTTTGTGTGGTTCTGTCCACATTCACGATGCTTTGCCACGAGCTGCCTTTGTCTCGCTGGTCTCGGAGCAGCAAAAGGAGCAGATGGTAGCCTCTGTTGCTCAGCTCGAGCAGCGATTCAACCACAAGTACCGCTACGACTGGGTATTCTTCAGCCATGAGGAGCTTAGCGAAGAGTTCAAGGACGCTACCTCCAACGCTACTGCCTCGACTGTCACCTATAACCTGATCCCCCAGCAGCATTGGACTATCCCGAGCTCTGTTGACCCCGGTCGCTTCGAGGCTGGTCTGGTGCGCACTTAGGGAGTGAACGCCGACAAGGCCCTCATCAAGACTGCCCATCACAGACGTCGCTGGTCTGCTGGACTCTTTGCCCGAGAGAAGCGTCTTCAGGCCTACGATTGGTTTTGGATGGTCGAACCTGGCGTAAGTAGGCATCGTTCTTTCTTCCCTTCCCTCCTTTGCTTTGTCTTGGCTAACAAGGCTCTTTTTCTAGACCAAGTTCCTCTGTGATATTACGGTCGATGTCTTCCGTCTCATGCGAGACCGCGGAATTGCCTATGGAGTCAATGAGGTTTCTTTCGAGGGTGCCGCTGACTCTGAGCTCCTCTGGAAGAGTACCAAGTCCTTCATGGATACGCATCCCGACATGGTTCGACCCACTGCCGATATCACCTGGATCCTAGGCAACAGTGCCAAAGCCAACAAGCCTACTCGTTCATCAGACTACTACGTGGATGAGGCTGACGATATGGAGAGCTTCGACCTGGGCTTGGAGGACGAGGGCTGCAGGGCCATCGGACAGGGAACTGAGGGTGACATGCCCCCCGGTGTTTTCCTTAAAGCTGATCCTCAGCAGTGCGAGCCAAACACTGTTGCCGATGCCTTTACCACTCGGCTTGCTGCGAGCTACGACCAGTGTGACATGGACACCCCTATTGAGATTGGCAACCTCAACCACTTCCGCGGACCTGAGCACCGCTCCTACTTTGACTATCTCGACAATGCCGGCGAGTTTTACTACGGAAATACCAGCAACGTTCCTGTCCACTCTCTGAGTGCCAGCATGTTCCTCCCACGCGACAAGTTCTGGCTCCTCGGTGACATGGTTTGCGAGATGCATGGCCTCCACAGCTGCCCCCCGATGCCTCACCCGACCTACAACTCCAACCTGCAGACCGAGAATAGCCCCAAATACCTAGCCGATGTAGTAGAAGCATCTTGGTTTGGCGCCTATAAGGACAACCAAGTCTTGCTCATCCACCTCGTCTGGGAGAGAATAGCGTCCGATATGGCCCGCCAGAGAGGTATCCCAGCAGCCCAGCTCGGACACACTGCCCTCGATGAGCGTAACTTCAAGCTCTACAAGCCCGAGAGATACCCAGTCGATGTCACGCTGACTTGGTACTCGCTGGAGGATAGCTGGCGTTCCTGGTCTTGCGATCGCCTCAAGTGGTTTCTTGGGGTGTTGGGATGGTAATCTTTTGACCTGGAAATCGGAATTAGCCCCTGGGGCTCGGGTGTGTATGGAGAGCCAAAGACGGCGCTTCCAAGCAGCAGGGCAAGGGGGTTCAAACTTGGGATTTCACTTGTTTCGCGGTACAATTTAACCTACACAGCTTCTATCAGCACCAGGTAGCCATCCTCAAAGAATGACTGATGATTCATACCTAACATTTCGCCTGACCTGCCTGGGGTACCCACTTCACCTAGGTTCAGTGAATCGTAGACTAGTCCGATCAATACGACTGCGAACATGGCGCCAGGCAAGACTGTGAATTCACCACACGGGCGTGTTTTGAGAATCATCCATGGATACAGTAAACCCATTGAGCTAATCAAACTTGTACATTGAATGCTACGGCAAAGTCAAACATGTTCCCTCGTACCTCAACCTCAGCATCGCATAACGAACCCATTTTGCCGGTAACAATGTCAATCTTCCCCATACCCTTAGTGGTCGTGGTCGTCATTGCGATAAGGCCAATCCGAGTAGGCTTCATCATCTTTGCTATCATCCGCGTCCTCTTCCATCCGTCTCTCTCGCCTCATGGAAGCCATGGCCCTACAAGCGACGCAATTGTCTACTGTCTCAATATAAGACGCCGGCCCTGCAACCGTATACTCGCTGATTTCCATGCTGACTAGTCTGTGGTAATCGTTGAAGTCCGCCGTGATGAGGAGCTGATGATCGCGAGGGCTGGAAAGGCCATGTTCATCGTCGAGTCCATACCATGCATGGCATGCCATGTGGCCTTGACCGTAGGTGCAAAGGAGTGGAACAAACTTCATACGGGGTTCAGCATTGTATTGGCTGGCGAAGTAGTCGTTGATTGCGTCTCTTCCTTCAAAGGTTGTTCCTTCGCAGCGTGGAAGATTGATGCTTGTCGTCAAAGTCGCGTCGTCGGTGAACCATTCCCAGCTGCTATGGAGACCTCCGGCGTTGATGTTGTCTATGAGGGGTTGTAGATGAGTATGCAGTATTTCTTCGAGCCAATCTACGTTCTCGTCATTGCACCAGAAGTGGATGGCTTCCTGGACGGGGTCAATTTCGGGGGAACCATTCATGGTGAAGACCTGAAGTAATGTTTAGCAATGCAACAATGACCGCAAACTTTCTCTCTCTTGCAGCTTACGAAATCAATGGGGAGCCTCTGCCTGTATTCGGATAGATACCAGAAAACGGAGAGACTCTGCGAGGTTGTGGGATGATGGCAAAGAACCGCGAGCGCAGAGCGTAGATGGACGTCGTGTTGTTTTGGGTGGGGCGACAGAAGATCAGGGATATAATAGCAAGTGATGTTGACAGCCCCTTGGAGGCTCCTTCGCGTTCCCAGTGAGTAGGATAAGGAAGAGCGAGCTTACCGGACATGCAGCTGGAGGATGTCGTTGAAGAAGTTGCGATGCCAAAACACCAGGAAGTCGTTCTTGAGAACGCTTGCCTGTCTGTGCAAAGCAGAGACCACTTGCCGTTGAGTGCCTTCTAACGATGATAAGAAATGATTTTTTTTCCTTCTATTTTTTGTCAATCCATGCTAATGTCATATTCAAAAGTTAAGTTCCTCAATGTTTCCAATGACATATGAGCGAGTTTGCGCCTTCCGAGTCCCGTCATTGCACCTTTGTTTCTTGTGACAGCTGACTGCACAATGCCTCTGCTAATTATTACGCAGTTTCTTCGCTGACGCTTTCCAAGTGTAAATCAACTTTTCTGGCTCTTGTTGCCTCGACAAGCTGATTGAATGCACAGTCGAGCGCCACAATCTTTGAGTACCTGAACTCCACTCTCTTGATCATGACATTTTTGTCGAGGCATATCACAAAGGCTGCCCCGAACTTGCCGACGCGGAAGTCCCCTTTCATATTTTCCTCCGCCCTGAGCGACTCTTTAGTCTTGCTCGCCTCCTTGGCCTTGTTCGCCCCCTTAGTCGTGCTTTCCCGTATTAATCCTTCCCAAAAAGAGAAGATTTGGGCCTGTACGACAACTGTAGAGACTGGGATAAATCTGCTGGTTCTGACTTGATATGCAGTTGGACTGTCGCTTCCAAGTGCTTCGATTATGTTGCACTTTTCATGTACGACGTAGTCTGGGTACCTCTTTTCGTCGAGTGAAGGATCGATCATGGTGCAGTCGTCGGCAAGCTATTCTAGCACACTTCTATCGACCGTAGCCAATCCGAGCATAAAATTTTCAGCTGCCTCTTCTAGCAAGCGACGAACTTCCAAGTTGTTGTATTTGACCTCAGTGCCGTTCCCTTGCTCCTTCACTTTCTTGATGATGTCAAGGACAGGACGAATGGTTTCGTCAGAAGCAGCCACTACACACGATTTTAGATGGGTATCGTATCACGAAGGTGTATCTACCTTACTTTCTACAGATACGTGGGCGAGCTTCTCTAGTGGTCGATGCAATGAAGCGTGTGATAAGGTTGTGTTCTAGGCGAGTCTTGGTCGATTGAATTCTGAAGATGATGTTTGGTAGTCTTTTTTGTTGTCACGAAAATTCACTTGGCCATATTGGATAGTTCATATTGGCATTTAAGCATTATTTAAGAACATTTGATGTTGGGCCTCCTTGGTGGAGGATAGAACATGAGATACGATTACTTCCAGATTGGGAAAGCCGGGAGTCACGCCAAATAGGGTCAGTACATTGATGAACAGGACAACAAAGCGAGAACAAGGCCAAAAGCTGTGATACCCGAGAGCGCAGATCATTTTGGCGGTCAAGTGATAAGTTGGGAGATGTGGCGGCGCAGGTAATCGGTAATTAAAGGATGCAACCCTCACAAACTCACATTATCGTGTCAGCGGGTGTCGGGAAAAGATGCCGGGACTGAACAGTCGAGAGCTTGGTAGGCCGCACAAGGATGATGCTTCCTTCTTTTTATTATATCATCATGTCACTGTTCAGGTTGATGCCCTTCCTATTCACGAGTTCAAGATCAGGATCGAGATGATGGACCTTACATCACGAAGGTCGAAATTGAGGCACAGGCACTGTGTGGCGTCACGACCTCGTGTTACCACTTCCCTTCAGGACTGAACAGAAAAATGGCAACATCGCTTTGAGGGTGTGCTCCTAGGCTTGTTGAGGGACGTTCAGAAGTCTGCTGACCATCAGGATGCCTCTGTCGGCCTCAGGTCTAGACCCCTTACAAGCTCAATCTTCTTCCTTCTGTCATTGTTCACAACCAGGACCCAAATCTATCTTCCTTGTACAACTACATGTGACCCAATTAGCTGTGGCATGGTTAGTTTCCTAATCACGGTGCGAATTTTGGTGATGTGTCCGCGGTCGGAGATGTGTGGTTTCGATGCAGATAGTGGTTCTGTTGAACTCGACAAACAGCCCCATCGCTACTTGCTTTAATACATGCCGGTTTCTGCCTTGTCTGTCTGCGTACGGCATGGCCATACACTCTCAACTCACCACTGATATAGCTTGATTTTTGGAGTATTCTCACACCATTTGAGGCCCAGATTTAAACAGGTAGCTCCGATAATATGGTGCCCTTGTGAGTTTAAGGGGGGTCAGCGGTGCGCTCGCGTCTATAGCTCTCGATATCTCCGTACTTCTGCATTAACAAAGGGAAGGAGTGCTTGGGTTGCCCTCACCAGACACTCGAGGTCGTCATGTATGGTGATCTCAGTGACTTTGATTTATTTGGATCTGGGGTATTTATATAGGTGAGATTCTTGATTTCCCGCGACTTCAAGGGATGATTGTACGAGACTCAGAGGCAAATATCGAATGATGCCATGATCCGGAAAAGTGAAGAGCAAATGCATGAGCCGCTTGGCCTTCTGAGGAGGAGGCAACACATCAACATCCATCTGCTGCCTAATACCTGGCTCGCTCTCGTACTTCCTTCGCGATCTATCTAATTGGTCGATACCAGTGTCCCTCGGGACTCACCTACACAAAATCCAAGCATCTCAGCTGGCCGGCAAATCTCGCGACCAGTGTCACTAGCCTGCCATGTCAAACCTGATCCGAATCTTTTTCAAGGACTGCAACAAGCGCGGATGGCCCAATTTCGGAGTGGCGTTTGCTCAGGTTGCGACTCTTAACATGAGACTCAATGTTTCGGGTTGAATCTACAAGAATCATGACGAGATCGTCAAAGAACACAAGACCGACACTTCCGACATGGCGTCCAAGTACCGAGATTTGGAAGTCGCGCCCATAATCAATCTCTCCGGCCGCGGCCGCGTCACCTACCATGTGCACGAAGTAGCAGATGGAGTTTCTCGAGCAGGCTGGGTCATCATCAGTGAGTAGATCTTCATCCTCGATATCGACAACGCAACCCAAGTCCAAAAAGCGGAGTGTCGATCCATCGTAGGTGAAACACATCTGTTTATCAGCGATTACTTCAAGTTTCTCATGAGGGATGATGCATACACTGAATCCACCATCGAGCAATTCTATATGCCTAGGAAGGTGATGGCAGTCTCAGAGTCGAGGAAAGCATCTCACCTTGTGCGAGTGGCACTATGTTTTGATGCAATAGGATGAGACATTGAAGACTTTGGCGAGTTCAGTGCAAGAGTTTGGTTCACGCGACTGAATCTTGAATCGTCTCCCCACTCCTCCAACAGACCTGACACCAAGCTCGCTGTCAATGTGGAAAAAGGACGGCATTGTGAGTTGACTCTTATCAGTCCAGGTAGTCAGATTGCTGTAAATAACGAATGCCCACATTCTTGCTCGCAATGGCACGAAGATGTCACGAAATCAAAACTAGAAAGAAAGCGTGCTTGGAAGCCTTTGCTGTGATTTACCGATGTTTTAATGTGCCTATCTGTTATCCTCAAGGATTTCGTGTAAGCTATGAGGCATGGCGCCCTCTCTGTGAAGCCCCTAGACCTTCTCTAAAACCCGAAATTCCCCTTCATGACCACGACGTCCTTCTTAGACTCCTTTGCAGCGTGTCTCAATCCTTTGAGGCCGCCGCCTGTGGTGATGGTCTCTTGATCTGTGTCTCGGAACTCGATACGTCTGATGAGGCACTTCTCGTCCACATCAAAGATGCAGACCATGCGTGCTCGCTCGAACTCCGATGCAGCCTTGGCTGCAACCTCATTTTCGCAAACTGTCTCAATCCAGAAAGCCTCCAGATAGCAAGTAGCTCTGCCCCTATCGACGACTAGGAGCTTGAAGACAATGCTTTGGTATTCCTCTTGGTCATCCTGATAGTATTGGATGACCGAGTTCGCACCATTGTGGATAGCACCCGGGCTATCTAGACTCCATACGAGCTTGGCGTCCTCTCTCAGGTAACCCTTGGCCGCGACCCAGTCTCCTCTATCGATCGCGTTGTAGAAGCTTCGAATTCTGGTGTCAATGACACTACGCATGGGGCGATCTGACACCTCGTCATTCACCTCGGCGGTGAAATGCTCAAGGTCATCTCGGTCAGTGGACATCATGACGTTCTTGCCGTAAATTTGAAGTTAGCATCTGTCTAGGAAGGTGCAGAGAATATTCACGGGTATACCTGAGATTCCTAAGTCAAGAGACTAGCCTGATTTTGAGTGGTTCGGAGGTGGCTTGGCCTGAAGGATAAGCGATGTTGAACAGCAGCGGTAGATGACTGTGTTTGCGCGGTGCCTCCAGCGATTCTCTCATGCCAAAGGAGATAAATAATTAGAGCAATGTTCTAATACGGTAAGGCGAAGCTGGGCATCAAATGCCCTGAGTTGTGGTTGTGGTGGTTGTGGCAACGTCCAGTGTGGGTGGAGGAAGGAGAAAGGGGAGATGGAGGGAGGGCTGGGAATTGTACGACCTTTTAATGGGGATTGAGATAGGCGGAGACCGGTAGAAGAAAGACGGAAGGTACGATTCTATTTCAAAGGGCAAGTACGTATTCAAGGCTTCTATTTTCTTCCGGCGTATTCGCGTTTACGAGGTCGTTCTATCGCAGGCAGCTGGATTCACGATTTTGACCCTAGCAAATGGGTAGGAGGAAGTCGCATACTTGAGTCGCTTGCTTTCTCTAAGACTCAGTCACTCTCTGAAACAAATTGGTTTTGAGAGCTAGGCCTCCCATTCATACTCAAGGTGATATCAAAGCCTACCCTCCTTCCTGAGAACAAAAGCTGAATGACTGTCCGCATCCTTGCTGATAGCCAGCAGAGCCCATCATGTCCTCGATCACTAGGATCTAGTCATCAAGCCCTGTAACGCTCTTGCAACTGCCAGCATTATCACAATTTGGACCGACTTGCAACAATTATCGACAAGCTTCATTCTCTTCCCAGCCCTCGGGGCAGCAGCCCGAACCCCAAACAGTCTGCAGTACGATCTGCCTTTTGACCCGTATTCTCCGTGTGTCATTTGAGCTGTGTACTCGAATTTCATTCTTTTTTAGAGGCAATATCATGAGAATAAGAGAGGATGGAAGCATGAGGGCAGTAGTAATAGGGAAAGAGGTCACCGATGGAATGACCGGCATAGCATTGTACCCCCACTTGAAGCCCGAAGGCCCCACAAAACTGCCCCCGCGACCGCGACGAGCAACGGAGCGAAGGGAACCCACCCGGAGCGAGCTTACCGAGAGAGGTATAGCAGGGAACCCGGCAGATGGTCTACCCCACCTCACCGGCCCAAACTTGCATTCCCTTCACAGACGGGGGGTGGGTGGCTCGCAAAGTCTCAGTCCGGGCGGATTTGTTCGGAGGCGGGGGTTGAACTTCCCGCTCGATCCCCCTCTTCCGCATGCAGTCTCGAGCTCAACCCTCGTAGAGTTAGGTTTCGTACGGATCCGGGCACCACAGACCAAGGTGGGAGTTTCAAGTATCTTCCAACTACATCCTCTATTCATTCATTCATCTAGGCAGCGGGCTACGATGCCGAATCAGATATCTAAGCAGTGGTATAAGGACGAGTACCTCATCTCCACTGACCGGTCGCTAGTCGACCTCAACGCCGTGAACTATGCCTTTGATTCTGAGCTGCTGTGGTGGACGAAGCGCGTTCCGGAAGTAGCTCTGAAGAGGCTGATAGACAATTCGTTGTGTCTGGGGGTGTACAAACTCCCACAGTCTACCGCCGACATTGCAGGTATGTCGACAAGCCTTCCGTCGCCTTTTCCCTAGGTTCGTTGCCTAACCCTCTAGAAGGAAAGAAAGGCCCTGAACTGGTGGGCTTCGCCCGTATCGTGACGGATTACGCCACCATTGGGTATCTGGCGGACATCTACGTCCTCCCCACGCACCAAGGCAAGGGACTGGCGCCGTGGCTGATGCAGTGCTTGAACGAGATCTTGGACGAGTGGCCCGACTTGCGACGCTTTCTGCTTCTGACGTCCTCGCCGCAAGCGAGTAAGTTGTATGAGCAGGCCTTGGGGACAACGGAATGGGGCGTGTCACATTCAGGGAAGCTGTATCTGCTGGAGAAGCGCGGCCCTGCAATGCCCAACGGTCCGTCAGACGAGGAGGATGAGGATTGAGTGCGGACACCATGTTGGTATTGAAATGTTGTCGTAATCATCATGCCTTAATTGACGTCTTGCCGTATGCTCCGCCAGCGGCCTTTCTTAGCTCAATTGCGCGCTTGTACGGGGGTGCCGTCGGTGGCTGGACGGGGTCCAAAGAGACGTGATCCTCGGGGAGTTGGTATGATGCGTCAGAGTCAAACGCCGACAGGTCACCACATGCGATGAAGGGTGCAATCCATCTAATGTGCTTATCATGATCCGTCGTCTCGTCCGTCTCGTCGTAGGCTTCCACCTCAACAACCTGGCCATCTCCCCTCGTCGCAGACGCCGTGGGAGCAGAGTCCCATTTCCCATTCAGAGGGTTCTGCATAAGCGCATCAGCAATGACAGGCAGCTGGCTTCTCCTCTCCTCGACCATCTTGGGAAGCTCGTGACCAACGCCAAGCGGGTTCTCAAGACTGGCCTGGAAACCAGCAGGGGGTTGGAAGTTGATGCAGACAATGAAGGCCTCCACACTGCTAGCACGAGAGGATCTCGGCTTCGCGACGATGACAGTCTCGAAGAAGATCTTGAGTTGCGCGTAGAGGAGATCGACATTGCGCCCGCGGAAGATCTTGGCGACGAACTTCCCACCGGGCTTCAGTACGCAAAGAGCGAGGTTGAGGGCGGCGAAGAGAAGCTGGGACTGGACGTAGATATCCAGGTCGTGGAGGCCCGTGACGTCCGGTGCACCGTCGCTGATGACGAGGTCGACGCGATGGCTGGCTTGCTGGCTCTTGGAGTTGGCGGCGTCATAGTCGGGATCCAAGGCCTTGAGGAGAAGGGGTACCGTGGCGGGGTGCGTGATGTCGGCACGCAGAGTAATGATCCCGGGGAGAGGGCTAATGGGTTGCAGATCGATAGACACGATCTTGACATCCTTGCGAGGTTGTGTCTCTTCGGTAGCAGTCGCGATCTGGGTCTTCTGCCCTGCGACAGCAGATTCGGGGGTAGCCGGGAAGACGCCCAGCATCTCCTGGCGGAACTTGGCCTCACGATCCTCCCATGCTGAACGACCGAACTTCTCTCCCTTGATGAGAACACGAGACAGCACCTGAGACCAACTACCAGGGGCGGCGCACAGGTCAACGACTCTTGTTACGTTGGCGAACAGGTCAAACTCTGGACCGTCGTTTAGCATTTATAGTCAAAATGTCACGGGATGGCGGGGTAGAATGAGTCACCTTCATCCAATTGCAGCAGCTTGAAGGCACTGCGTGCACGCCAGCCTTGCTCCTTTGCAAGACGGTAGTAAGCATCGCGCTTATCCTTGGAAGATTTGCCCATCTTGAAGTGACAGCGAGAGACGGGAAGTGAACTATCGAGGGCTGATATGAGACGGAAATGGCGGGGGAGGGGAAAATCGCCAGCAATGTTTTTTTTTTGGAGGGGTCAACGCCCGCTATGGCCGCCAAAGAAAATTTGCTGCAGCGCTGTTCTCGTAGGGCTGAATTAGGCTGCGGTCTGTGCATTGCCTGGCGCCCTGGCGCTGTCTCTTCCGGCTGAAGTATTTTCCGGGCCCGCCAAAAATTTCGAGCGGCGCAGCGGCGCCAGCGCTCAATTGCAGTGGACGATATGCGCATCGACTTTTTTTTTTTTTTTTTTTTTTGGGTTGATGTGAAGAATTACTCGCGGGGCATTTTCTCATACCATTGCTTTTGCGCTCCTTGTATATACAATACCAGGACCGTCGATATGCAACACAAGAGGAAGCAACAGCCTTCTGGGGCTGCCCAGAATCCCCAGAAGCGCCAAAAGTCTGCTAGCGGAAAGGCCGCGGCCCCGAAGAAGCGTAAGGTCGCCGTCAGTGCGCTGCCATGGAAGACGGTCGAGGTCCCCGAGATGTTCGACGATGCCGAGGGTTTCTACGGCTTGGAGGTTATCGAGGGCGTTGATGTCGTCAAACATGGGGATAACGTCGAGTTTGTATGTCTTCCAGCCTATGCTTCTCTTCCTCGCCCTCTCGAATACAATGCATGACTGACTACAATCCAGATCGCTGCTGTTCCCTCTGGCGACGAGAAGGAGAACGACGAAGACGAGTTCGAAGGCTTCAGCGACTCTGAGCCTGTCCCTACACAAACCGATACAATAATGGAGGAGGCGGAGGCAGCACCAAAGGCAGAGACCAAGAAGACCAAGAAGGAGAAGAAGGCTGCAGCCAAGGCAGAACAAAAGGCACAACAAAAGGCACAAAAGGTGGAAAACACGAAGGGGGACAAGCCTGCAGACAAAGCCGATGAGACAGACGCCGTTACACCTGCACCCGCAGCCGAAACCGAAGGCAAGAAGAAGAAGGAAAAGAAGCAAAAGAAAGCTCAGCCTAAGCCGGAGGACGCCAAGCTTGAAAGCAACGTTTTCAAGGCTCTCGAGGAAGCTGAAGAGGCCGAGGAGGATATCGACACAGCTCCCTGGGTGGAGCTCGGTCTCTCCCCGGCGACTGTTGCGGCCATTGCCAAGCTCAAGTTCGCCAAGCCAACAAAGATCCAGAGCTCCTCGATACCCGAAATTCTCGCCGGTCACGACGTCATCGGTAAGGCCTCTACGGGTTCCGGTAAGACGCTTGCATTTTCGATTCCCATCGTGGAGGAATGGCTCGAAAAGTTTGAGGGAAAGGAGGACGAGAAGAAGCCGGATAATACACCCTTTGCGCTCATTCTGTCGCCGACAAGAGAATTGGCACACCAAATCACCAACCACATCAAGAATCTTTGCGCCGGTCTGACCCACGCGCCCTTCGTTTGCTCGGTGACGGGAGGTCTGTCAGTCTTCAAACAGCAGAGACAACTAGCCAAGGCAGATATCGTTATTGGTACGCCAGGTCGTCTGTGGGAGGTCATCAGCTCCAGCACGGAGCTCCTGAAGGGGTTCCGGCAAATCAGGTACCTGGTTGTCGATGAGGCCGATAGGCTTCTGAGCGAGGGACACTTCAAGGAGGCGGGAGAGATCCTAGACGCCCTTGACCGTGAGGTTGTCGAAGAGGATGATGAGGATGAGAAGGAGCTTTCGGAGCGACAGACGCTGGTCTTCTCTGCGACGTTCCACCAGGGACTGCAGCAGAAGCTGGCTGGCAAGGGCAAATGGGGCCTCATGTCGGAGACGGAGAACATGGAGTATCTGCTGAAGAAGCTCAACTTCCGCGAGGAAAAGCCAAAGTTCATTGACGCCAACCCCGCCAAGCAGATGGCCGCCGGTCTCAAGGAGGGCCTCATCGAGTGCGGTGCCATGGAAAAGGTAAGAAAGAAGCGCTCGCCCAATCTATCATGATGATCTGATCTAACACGTTGCAGGATCTCTACCTCTACACAATCCTCCTGCTCAACCCGAACCGCCGAACTCTAGTCTTCACAAACTCCATCAGCGCCGTCCGTCGCCTGACCCCCATGCTCCAAAACCTCAACTTGAACGCCATGGGCCTCCACTCCCAAATGGCCCAAAAAGCCCGTCTCCGCTCCGTCGAAAAGTTCACGGCCACAAAAGCAAACACCACGTCCGTCCTCATCGCCACCGACGTCGCTGCCCGCGGTCTCGATATCCCCGGCATTGACCAGGTCGTCCACTACCACGTTCCCCGCGCCGCCGACATGTATGTCCACCGCTCCGGTCGTACCGCGCGTGCCGAGAAGACGGGTCTGAGTATCATCCTCTGCGGGCCGGAAGAGGTCGTGCCGACCCGCAGACTCGCGGCCAAGGTCCACGAGAAGCACTCGAGCAAGAAGAAGTACTTTATGCGCACCATCGATATAGATCGCCGCATCGCTTCCCGCCTCAAGCCGAGACTCGACCTGGCGAAGAAGCTCACTGACGCGACCCTAGCCAAGGAGAAGGGCAACAAGGACGAGGACTGGGTCAAGGCTGCTGCCGAGGAGCTAGGTGTAGAGTACGACAGCGACGAGCTGGAGAAGGCAGGGACGTGGACGGGTCGCGGAAGTCAGCGGAAGAAGAAGCAACAAGAGGACAAGAACATTAGCAAGGCGGAGATGGGAGCCATGAGGGCGCAGCTGCGCGAGTTGTTGTCGAAGCGCGTCAATGCCGGCGTCAGTGAAAAGTACATCACGTCGGGTAATCTCGACATCGAGGAGTTGTTACGAGGCGGCACGGGAGATTTCCTGGGCAAGGTTGACGGCTTGGACTTGGAAGATCTGTAGGATGGTAGCCTCACGCATTCACATAAAGACAATACCATTTGATTTCAATCGTGCAATCAAAACTTTTCATTCCTGGTACTCTTGAGCTGCCTGTTCGGCTCGATACCACGACCAATTATTATATCCATAGCGGAATTCCGTAACTATAACCGTAACCGTAACCGTAACCGTAGACCATGTTCTTGATCGTGACCATCCTAGTATAAACGAAACCGAGCCGAAACCACGACCATGTCCGTATCCGTGTACTGGGCTCGCCGGCCCTCGTCACAGAAGTATAACACAACAAGAAAAAAATTTGTTCGCACTGAACAATAAAAAACCGAAGCTCGTGGCCTCGCTCATTCCTCCATCACCGACGAAGGACCCGCCTCACTCTTCGGAAGCTGTTCAGACCTTCTCTTATTCGGAAGTGGCTTCATCGGTCGCATCGTCTTCGCGCCTGAGCTTGACTGCGCGCGTTCAGGCTTCTTGTCCGGAGTTGAGGTGAGTGAGAGAAGGTGTTTGCCTTCTTCGATCTGCTGCAAGACCGTAGAAATACTTCCGGTCTGCAGGGCAGTGAGTCTGGGGCCGGACTTGGGGTTTTGAATCTGGTCCTCGAGATCTCTGACTCTCGAGGCCAAGAGTGTGAGGTCCTCGCGTCCCTTCTTCGTCTTGTCACGCAAGGTAAGCCTGCCCGTACAGCTCATGGAGTACTGAGACTCCAGCTTCGCAATCTTCTCGTCCTTCTCCGCAAGCTCGGTCTCCTTCTTCAAAAGTTCGTCCTCGTGGGTCTTCTTGATCAGGTCCAAGATTCCGTCTTTGTTGGACAACTCTTGAGTCTTGTTTCTTTTAGCCATGTTGGCCTTGAGGAGCTCTTCGTTGGCAAACTTCCTCATCCTCGCCGCCAGGTTGGTGTTTTCGTTGAGAAGGCGTTGCACTTCCACGTTTAGCCGTTCGGTTTCGGCGCAAAAATCATCCTTGGCCACCTTCAGGTTGCCAATGGTGTGAATTGAAGCTCTCTCGGCCTCCAGTGATTTCCGAAGCTTCTCTTGCTCCTCTGCGAGCTCCTCGATGTATCCCTCGATCTCCTCCTCCGCCTTCTCCTTCTCCTCGCGGGCAGTGCGCAGGTCGATCTCCAACTTGGTGACTTGCACCGCCTTTCCTTGCAGAATCTCCATTGCTTTTTGCTCTACGAGCTGGACCTTTTGAATCGCAACGTCTCTCTCTTGCTGTAATGGAGCAATCTGGGTGGCCTGGTCCATCAATCGCTCCACTTGCTGCTGTAGGGTATCCCTTTCAACCCGTGTCTGCTCTGTCTCTTGTTGCAACATAGCAACCTGAGGGCTCAGGGCAACCATTTGCTCTACCTGCTGCTTGTAGCCATCTTTCTCGTCGCGCAGTTGCTCTGCTTCGCTTCGCAGGTCAGCCACCACTCTCTCAGCTTCCGCTTTGAAGCCTGCGGCTTCTTGGATCTGGGCGCCTTGCGACTCAATGGTTGCCTTGGCTTCGGCCTTGACATTGGCTAACTCTGTCTGGAGCGCGAGAATATCTGCCGACGTTGATGCCTTGATATCTTCCTGAGTGACTTGCCACTCCGTGGCAGTAGTTGCTTGAGCTTGAGCCTTGGCCAATTCCCCGCGAAGCTCGACAATAACCTTCAATAAGTTGTGCTCCGTGTTCTGGCTATCAGCCTTGAGATCGTTCATCTGGGTCTTGCTGATGAAACGCCCGAACGTGGCCGAGGTCGCCAATGCCTGATTTACCGAAAGCCTGGCTTGGGTTATGGCGAGCTGTTCCTCGAGGTGCTGTTGGGTTGGCTTGGGAGCAGTCTCTACCGCCTCAGATTGGGTTCCTGTTGCCAACAGCTCTACCCGAGGGGGAGTGTCTTTCTGACGCTGTAGTGCCTTGATGTCGGTACGTAGCACGCCAATCTGGTCTTCCTTGCGCCGGGCATATTCTTGGAACTTCTCCTTCTGAGTGTCGATCTTCTTCTGGAGGTACTTCGCTTGTGAATTGGACGCCTCCCGACAGACATCGGCGTCGTGGGCCTGCGCTTTCTGGTACTCCAGCTCTGCCTCGAGTCTTGCGATGGTTGCTCCATCTGTCTCGTGTGCAAGGAGTCTTGCGTTTGCTTCCCGGAAACTGTGTTCGGCCTGTTGAGCACGGGATTGCTGCACATTGAAAGCGTGCTGAAGCTCCAACACCTTCGCCTCCATCTCGCTGACTTCCGATGCGTAGGAGTTGGACTGCCTCAAGGTCTTCGTCAGACGTTCCTCGGCATTGTCACACACCTCTCGTTGGCGGTAGCATCTTTCGAGGTCTTCTTGCGCGGGCGTAGGAACTGGTTGCTCAGTTGTTTGCTCCGGGAGCTGTCGGAGAGCAACTTGCTGCACGTCTGTATGCGAAGCCGGCTGGCGAGATGCAGAAGCTCGGCGAAGCGTATCACACAGACTCATGACAGCAGTTTTGAGCCCCCAGATAGCCTCCAATATGACCGCGCCCACGCTGGATAAGACGCTAAGGGCGTGGACTCCCGTCAGAGGATGAATAGAAGCCAGGATGAAGATGACGAAGATTAGACATCCGATGCTTTTGGGGTCGAGCAGGCCGTTCTCGCGAAAGAGCTGGTGGATCAGACTGCCCAGATAGTTAAGAGCCATCAAAATGGCAACTATGCCGGCAAAAGCGAGAGCGACGCTGAACGGGTCGATCATGATGTCGGTTCGGCGTTCGTTAGAGGGATGACACCGGTGGTGGATGAGACGAACCTCGGCGAGCGATGAATAGATGGATGAGAGAGGGATATGAGGCCTGGGGTGTATAAGGAATAAATTCAATCTTCTGATGAAAAGTGATTGTCTGAAGAAGGATCTCGTGGGCAAGCAGATGGAGGTTCTTGCGATAGTTGATTTCTTCGGCGTGAAGTTGAGAAGATGGCTCACGTAGGGGTTGAAGAAAAGAGAAAATTGGAGGGATGGACGAGTGAGATGAGGGTGTGAGTGAGAATTGAAGATGAAAATTCAGAGAGATGTAAAGATGAGGAAGGCGCTGTTGGGAAAAGCTGATGTTGAGGGAAGGTGCGTCGGGAGAAAGGCGCAAAGGTGAGGCAGGTGCGAATTGACAAAGCGACAGAATTTTTGCAGTGGGTAAGGCTTCTACGAGGTCCTCTTCATCTTTTACTCAATTATCTAAGGTGAGAAGTCGATCTCTTGGGTTTCACATGCTTCTTTATCGAGGGCAGCTGTCTTGTCCTGCATCTTCTCACCTATCCATACAATGAGTTGGGCATACAAAGGGGATGAGCTGAAAGAGAAATGAGCTCACTCTTTTCAAACCGAATTCCTTTAACACGAGCTGCTGTGTTTCAAAGCGGCCATCTTCTGTTGGCCTAAATTGATCAGAGGTAAAGACTTTCTAGGTCGAGGACGACGTTGATCGCGAAACCAACGCGATGTCATACAGTCTAGAGTTCGTTGGCTCAGAACTTCCATCTCAAAGGTGTTAAAATGTATGGCTTAGCACATAAACCCGATTCTCTGATTCTCGATGTGAAAGATTCTCAAGATCGGTACATGTTGTGTGTGGTCGACCTTAGCTATTGTGGAACTCCGATCTCATGATGTTGGAAGTCACCTTGGCCTCACCGAGGTCTCACCTATCTCTCACCGAGGTCCCTAATTTCAAATGCAAAGCGTCTATCTCCACGCTCCGCCAGGCTCGACAAGTATCAGGGTATTCCGGAATCATAAATAGGAATGATACATAGTGTTCAAGTTTTCTGTTAGGCACCATATAGCGGCATGCAATTCTGGCTTTTGATTCCCACCGGTAGGCCAATAATGGAGAGCATTCGGTGAGCCGGCGACGGGTGACGAGTGACGACAAGGCCCCAAAGCCACAAGGCAGCATCGATTCTGGTAGCATCGATTCTGGCAGCATTCTCCAAATTCAGTGGCATCAGCGAAGTTAGAGAATATCATTCGCAGGTTTGCTCACACGAGTGTTTCAAATCTCTCCCCAATCATTGTCGGCTCATCAGGCGCCCACGGGCATACGATTGCATGTTGACTACGAGTAGTTTATTTGATCGCCATATCCAATCAATCTCTATTCAAATCATTCATATCTGGTATCAAGTGGCGCTAACTTGTAATTATTATAGTGTAAACCTTCGTCCGAGTCCAGCCTGGGTGTTCATCAACTGTCGGTTTCATGATCTCATCTATGACCCTCCTTGAGCGAGTCGAGCTCAATTGAGCTTTCGCCTTCACTGAGTCCTGTTAATCTTTCATGCCGCACTCTCACTTCTTCGGTCTTGATGATGCCGTTCATGCCCGGGAGCGGCGATGCCTGGCCGCCCTCCGCCTCTTGGAGGGCTTCCTGCGATTCTTGCCATCCTCCGGTGGACATGACAACAACAGAATTCCGGCCGTATTGTGACCCCGGGCCATATCTCTTCGTTGATCTGACCTCCTTCCTCGTTCCTGTGTCGAGTGCATGCGATTGTGACTTGTTTCGTGCATAACTTCGTTGAGTTGACTTGAGCTCTCGGTACAACATTCTCCTACACGGTGTCAGAGGTGAAGAACCAATACGCTTGATGAGGGGGGAGACCACATACAAAACTGGGATAGACACTGCCATGATCGAGGCGGCAGGTTCTGTCAAAGTCCAGATCGTAAGGTCAACGCGCTCGTAGGTGATGTCTGGACTCGTCATGTTGACCACCAGGACAGCTTTCACGATGCCGCATATTCCGGCACTGTCGTCGATGTTAGTTCACCGCAAAAGTGGCCAGGGTGGAATCCGAAAGTCTTACATAGCACCCAAGCTCATTGCTACGGCGACACCAAGCCTTTCGCGACGCCGCATCGTTGCGCCCATGAGAATTGGCCACGGCAGGAATGCCAAAACGAAATCGAGAATGGCGGAGTAATCTGCAAGCAAGTGAGCATGCAAGCCTCATGAGAACACCGTTTCGCGGCAGTCTTACAGGCAGCAAACAACTGGAATTTGACGAGCTTCTTCTTATCCCAGCAACTCCCCGGCACGCTGCTGTCCCATACTCGTTGCAACAGTGTGCATTTGGCGAAGCCAAAGATCCATACCAAGTTCATCGAGATGTTGATGGAAACGATGATGAAGATGAGAAAGTATTTCAACCATTGGTTCGTGACGATGCGGTACAGTGTCAGGGCGAATGAGCTTTTGCTAGTCGTCGTTGCGATGATTCCGAACGTGGCGACGAGGATCGTATTGAGGTTGATGAGCTTGAGGTTATCGCTACTGATCGTATCGATATGGCGTCCAAATCCGAGAGAGACGATGTAGGAGTTTATCGAGATGGATATCACCAGTGACACCTGCAACTATGAGCTAAGGGGGGGGTAGGACAATGACGGCCATTCTTCACATACCATTGACGCAATCAAGAGATGGTCATCCCACCATAAACCACGTCCACGCCATAGCTTACAATAGATACGCAATGAAAGCAGCGTAGCGCTAGCGACACAGAGAGACCATGTTACGGCGAGGAGTCTGGTGCCTCTATCGTCGACCATCGTCAACCTCACGGCAGATGCACAGTGCCACGAGATATGATAGAAGACGTCGTAAGAAACAAGGACGGGAGTCAATCAGTGGATCCCCGGGAATTCTGCTCAAAGTCGGGCGAGGTCAGCGCACACGCGGGAAGTGCATCACTCCCTCATATTATACATTGGCATCGCACATGATGAAATCTAAGATCAGCGTCCTTAACAAGGGGGCCCCCAGGTACCAGAAAGCCTCCTACCCTCCATGAACAGTCCTTAGTTTCGGGGAGTGCAACCGACTTTTCACGCTATGTGCCCCCCCTCGAAACCGGCGAGAGTATTGCCTGTGTCGGTGATAGGATTCTCCCCCTCAAAGGGAGAAGCAGGGAGGGGAGGCGGAGTTCGGACGAAGTCCCGCCACCTGCCCCAAGGAACACCTCGTCACGGGCAGGCGAAAGACAGATCAGGTTTCGACCGGTGCACGACATATATCACGGCGGGCGGAAGCGGGAGATTTGGGTTCGTGGAAAAGTCGAGGCCGGCCGCCAACACGGCGGTGCTGGGACCAACGTATGATTTCTGCTACTACGGGCACTTACTTCAAACGGAACTGTTGGATCGCTGGGCCAAGTTTGTTTTGCGTCTGTAAATCCACCGGGAGGTACGGATGCAAGGGAACTAGCAGCCTCACAAGAGTCAACGGCTCACCACTGACGCTGTGGCTGTTTTGTTGCAACCACACTTGTCTTGGAATGATCTGATGGGAACACGAAGTTGGTTACTTAAACAGTAAGGTAGGACTGGGACGTTCCCATGGGCTTTTGGCTCGGGGTCCATCTCAATCGGAGATCCAGCGCCATGCTCCAACAGCGTCTCCGCATACGGACCACGTTCTCCTCTACAGACGCATAAAGGGTCCACTGGCATCACGCAACTGTAATCTATGAAAATGTAAAGGTGCGTGGTCTCGTTAACGGATTCTGCTACCAAAGTTCCTTTAGCCCTGCCAGGCCGGCCCAACTATGCCGGGGCAGCTGAGGAATGTGGGAATGTGCCCACTCCTCAACTCAAGATGGCTGGGGTACCGGTCTCTAGTGCCGAACTCTAATCCTGGGGCTTGAGCGGAGAGATCCCATTCGTGCGCCAGCGATTTTCCCCAGGATCATAGCCGATGGTCAATATTACATATCTCGTTTAAACAGTACCCATATGGAGTTTTCGGGGCTCTAGAAGACACTAAAAGAGTCTACTCACCAACACGAATATTGGCTGCGCCGTTACTGCGCAGTAGCGTGGTCTCACCATCGATTCTGCTAACCACAACGAGGTATGCTTCTCCGATGTTCTGCCAGGCCTTTGGGGGCAGCGGCAACACGGACGGTTACCAACTACGGCTCCAATCTGCGGGGGATGCTGGGCATCAGGCCACAACCCGTCGAACCCGTGATGGATGAATTCCTCGGCCGAGAGATCGATGGGGAAGCTTCGCCATGCTCTCGCCATGCGACACAAGGATGAACTTACGTAGTAGCATCTGATCGAGCCCCCTGAGCCGAAGCACGCAAATCGTGTTGGAGGGCTGCCAAGTGCCATCCGCAGGGGCAATGAGACGGTACGGACTTCTTGTATGTGTCATCGTAATCTAAGGTATGGACTAAGTCTGCTAGGGGTGATCGGCAGAGCCTTGGAAGAGCCGGTGATTATTTTCCAAAACGGCTCTTAGTCTAGAGTCGTCGTAATCCAATATTCCGGGCAGTGCAGGGACTAAGAGGCCGTCTCTACGGAAATTTCTTTTCACGCCAGCGGACGTTGAGGCAATTTCTAGACGATATGTCATGATTGGTTCCCGAGTAGCGTCGACGGGCTTGATCAAAATCTCCCTACCTGAACCTCTGTGCGACTGACATGAGACACACGCAGGTGTTAGCCTCCCTTTCCTTCTACACCGCATTCTAGAAGCTGCACTTCTTCGCCCGTTGAGCCTTGCCCACCATGCGTTCCCACGCGTTTAGAGTTCTTCTGGCGTTTTCGTCGTGCTTGGGCGTGTCCGAGTCCTCCTCGCCCGCCTATTGGGGTCCTCGTCCCAAGCCCACGCCGCCTGGACCTCCTGCGGTGCACCTCTCAGACGGGACCTACGTCGGAGTGCGGAACCAGCAGTATGCGCAGGACCTCTTCCTTGGTATCCCGTATGCACAACCCCCCGTTGGCCCTCTCCGGTTCGCTGCTCCTCAACCGCTCAACGAGACGTTCGAGGGGACTCGATCAGCTTCCGAATATGGCTGGATGTGCATAGGGTATGGCTCCGATACTGCCAACTTGGGAAACCCCGTTTCGGAGGACTGCTTGACCATCAACGTCGTGCGTCCGGCCGGTGTCCAGCCAGGAGATGATCTGCCTGTTGGCGTTTGGGTTCACGGCGGCGTAAGTTTCTGCCAAGTGTAAGACAACCTTTACCTGGTACTTTTGCTGACTTTGTCGAAACAGAGTTATGTAAACGGAGGCTCGCGCGACCCGAGGTACAACCTCAGCTACATTGTCGACCAATCCGTCAAGGAGGGAAAGCCTATTGTGGCTGCATCCATCAACTACCGTGTTTCGTATTGGGGCTTCCTCTTCAGCAACGAGCTGCAAAACGCCGGTGCTGGCAACATTGGTCTCCGCGACCAGCGCCTCTCGTTGGAATGGCTCCAGCAGAACATTGGCGCCTTTGGCGGTAGCCCTGACAAAGTCACCATCTGGGGAGAGTCTGCGGGTGCTCGTTCCCTGGGCATGCAGCTCGTCGCCTACGATGGTCAATACAACAACCTGTTCCGCAGCGCCATCCTCGAGAGTGGCAGTCCCATCGCGAGGTTTGCCGACGCCGACGACTGGCAGCCGTGGTTCAATGCTCTCGTCGACAAGACGGGTTGTACCGATGCCGCTGACAAGCTGAGCTGCTTGCGAGGCCTTCCCTGGCAGACTATCAACGCCATTTACAACGGCACCAACCCCTTGAGCGTAACGCCGCCTACCATCAGCGCTGTGGTTGACGGCGACTTCATCACTGCCCAGGGATCCGAGCTCTTGGCTGCGGACAAGTTCGCACATGTTCCTCTTTTGCTCGGCAACAACTTCGATGAGGGCACCGCGTATGCAAAGCAGGGCATCAACACCACTGAGCAGTTCCAGGCCTGGCTTACTGCCCTTCAGCTGGACAGCGAACAGGTGGCCGCCATCTCGGAGCTTTATCCCGACGATCCCGATGTTGGAATCCCCGTCTCTCAGGTTGGCCGACCTGCGGCGTACCCGTTCGGCCTTCAGTGGAAGCGGGCAGCTGCCTTTGCCGGCGACTACCAACAGCACAGCGGCCGCAGGCTCCTGGCCAGCACCTACGCTGGCGCCGGACTGTCCGTTTACTCTTACCTGTGGAACGTCTATGTCAACGGCATCGCGGCCGTCTACGGAGCGACCCATTTTCAAGAGGTCGCGTTCGTGTTCAACAACGTGAACGGAGTGGGATATGCTACCAACCCCTTTGCAGGAAAACCAGAGACCTTTGTCGAGCTAGCGGACCTCATGAGCAAGATGTGGGTCGCGTTCATCCACGACACCGATCCTAATGTCTGCAGCGGCCCTAAGACAGGTCCTACGTGGCCATTGTACACGGTGGATGAGCCTAACAACATCGTCTTTGATGTAAACCGTACCGGTCTGGCCTATGTTGAAGAGGACAACTACAGGGCGACAGAGATCGAGTATCTCTTGGAAAACGTCTTTGTGTAATGCTGACGCTTCAGCGCCCATCAAAGTCACCTCCAGATCATGTCGTGCCTCAAGTGCCTAGATTAATAATACCTGATTAATCATTCTATCATAGCCTTTGTAATAGAAACACTTCATCTCGTTGAGCTTGCTTTCCACAGGCCATCCAGGCCTTCTCTAATGGCATCGTTTCAAGCTCGAAGCAACGCCTAATTAAAGGATCTTCCACTCTTACTCAAAGGCCCGCTTGTATATAGAGGAGTAATCAAGAAAATGCTCGGGATAATTCGGAGAGTTTCTATAAGCGAGTCCAAACCGGTTGCGTTTGGCGGCAATTCAGAGTATTTAGAGTTCATCGATATTAATATCTGCCCTTTGATCAATGCAAACCCAGCCGTTGCTCTGCAGGCTGTGGATTACTGAATGCTTGTGCCAAGACCTCAACCCGCTTCTCGTTACAATCCCGGTGTTGATCTCGCCGGCCTATCAATTACCCCGATCGTGAACCAAAAAATGCCACCATACCAGCCACACCATCGCGGGGTGGCGGGGTAATGCAAACCAATGCTCACAAGGAATCGCCAATGATGACTAGGCATCTCCACGAGAAGGATGAGCTAGTTGCAGGATATATAGAACTCATGAGCATCGTTGTGAGATTATTAAGATCTACTCACCGTGAGAACGGCACTCTTCATCAACGGTCGCAACCCTGCGTCAACAACACATCAAGTTAATCGGGTCAAATGAGAGCAGTCGCCAAACAGGTATCAGGGACGGGAATAGCTGCCGAGGCTGCATTATCATCGCAATCCCCCAAGGACCCTGTTGACTCATTGATCTCTATAGCTATCTACTGGACTACCTTGTGTAGCGAGGGCTGATAGATCTAGCCGTCTTCTGCCACAATCTTCACAAATGAAGTGTCTCTAGAGTCTGGAACATCCGAGGAACGTGATCAAAGCCTCAGACAAGATGTTGCAAATCATCTGAGCACACATCCCACATCAGCTTCTCATTCTCACGTCTTGACCGATGTCGTTCATTTAGCGTCAAGGAGATGGAGGGCGGACCGGTCAAGGTCCTCACTTTGAATAAGAATAAGCCTTGCGCCTCACCAGCCTAGACCTAGTCGATGGCTTGCAAGGTTTCCTGCTTCCGTCGTCAGCCTCGACCATGAGGATATGGAGATCTGATATGACATGATCTAGTGGCGTGGTGGCCCCGACAGACTCAAGTCTGATGTGAGCCGTTTCGAGACCTCTATGGGCAAGAAACTATAACAC